CCGTTCCTCGGGATCGCCGCCTGCGGCTCCGCCGGCGAGCACGGCGACGCAGGATTCAAGATTGCCGCGCCCTCGGGCACGCTTCGGCCTCCTAGAGAGGGTCGTTTGGGCCCGTCTGGACTGCTACGGGTCGCCACCCCCTTCTCCCTTGCGGACACCCGGGAACCACAATGCCTTCAGCTTTCCGTCTGCCCCATGAGTGCCTGGGAGTCGTCGTGGCGTCCACAAACGGCGCTGGCGTCGCCGCCGTCGACATCGCCGCGGACGCTGTCAATGCGGGAAGACAAGTCCCCTACTCAACAGCAGCGGCCTCTGTCGCTTGTGGACAACATTTCCCGTTGGGCATCGTGCCCGTTCTTTCCCGCGCCCAGTTCGGGCCTGTCAACAGAGCTCAAGCGCTGCGAGCGCAAGCGGGCGGACGCCCACGCGTCGCTCTCACGCAGAAACGGGCAAGGTGCCTCTTGATCCGATTCTGAACGGGACCAGGCCCAAGACCCATCGAAGTCATGACCGCAATTTGGCGACACCACGATCAGCTGAACACAATATTCCGTGGATTATGATAAGGCTCTACAATCGCAGAGAGCGCCCCGCTCGGCACCGACGCGTCTCTGGACGGAGCGGGGGGGCGCCGCCCGCATGCGCGACATCCCCTTTTTTCCCCATGTAACACCTGCAACGGAGCAGCTCACCCAGGCCAACGAGGAGCTTGACACCTGGCTGTATATCACTGGGCTTACCACAGCCAGTACCCTGCGGCTGACAGACAGCGGGAGGCGGAACGCGGTCGAAGAAACCATTCAAGCACACTGGCTTCAATTATCGTTTCTACCCATCGGCAGACACGGAGAACACCCCGCACGAACGGAACTCCCAGAAATTTGAAGGCTCAGCCTGACTGAGGACGCCGCGGACGCGGAGGAATCCGATTGGGAAGGTGGCCCGCTTCACGCAGATCAGGACCATTGCGAGGAGGGCGAAGACATCAGCGAGTCATCGTCGGCCGCATCCCCAGCACTGCCCACCAGGCCCGATGCGTCCACGACAGAGCATGCTGGGGAGGTGTACGTTGGCGACGCAGGGCCCCCTCGGGCCATTCGCGACACCCTCCAAGTCTCCACGCACCAATTGAACGCGCCGCAGGCTTTGGAGGAGCCGTGATCTGAGCAGAGCCAAGACCTGGGCGGGTGATCGAATGCCAACAGGATGCCTCAAGGTGACAGGGAGCAATCTCAAAGGCATTAAACGAATTCTTTTGTCTGAAAACAATTCGCGTTTCCTGCGCAACCACGCTCCCGCGCCCATGGACGGGGAGGAGATAAACCCACGACCCGGTACTGCTCCGCGGCCGGCATGGGCGTGGCACGCCCATCTGGCTGCCCCATTTGTCCGATCCTGGCTCGGGAATCCGTCGACATAGCAGGACTACGTCCATATATATATATACACACACATACATACATACATACATACATACATACATACATACATACATACATACCTACCTACCTACCTACCTACCTACCTACCTACCTACCTACCTACCTACATACATACATACATACATACATACATACATACATACATATACCGCGGATCCGAACAGGTGATGTGGACGCGCTTTCACACCTAAAGAGTGCCGAGAAGCGCCTAGCATGACATCCTTCCACTCCGGCGCGCTCTCCTCTGTATCCTGGAAAAGGCCGTCGGCGGCCGCTTCGTCAAGTCGGTCATCTTCCTGTTGGCGCAGGAACCACGCGAGATTGTCTGGCGCGTTGAAGCCAACCGCCTCCCTTGTCGCATAGGAAACCTTGCGCTGGTCGCGGTCCGATAGGGCGGTTCGGTGAGCCGCTGCTCTCCTGGCGGCCCCTGACTCGCGAGTCCCATGGGTCCCGACCGAGTCCAATGCGCCAAAAAGCTCAGGCGGCCAGAGCTAGCGCAGTTGCAAGGGTTCGCGATGCCCTGGACTGGCGTAATCTCACGTGTCTCATCGGTGGGGCGGAATCCTTTGGCAAGGCGCAATGCTCGCCGCTAGTATCTCTGCCCTGCCCGAATGCAAGAGAGTTGCGCCCGCCCTTGATCGTCCATCGGCGACTCCACCGCCTGCCGGCCCAGACGACTCCCAAGGACCCATGGGACTGGGAGCGCCACGAAGAGATGAGGCCCACGCGATGGGATCTCACCCTGATTGTGTGTCGATATCACGGGGACGTCTGGATGTAAAGCTGTGTCCGATAGCTTATGCTGCCCAAGACGGCCCTTTTCAACATGTTCTTGCACATCCTGGTTAGCTTCCGCAGGATGCTCAGAACGCGCGCGCCAGTGGGCAACGCATACGTACCACCCGCATGACAAGGACCCCGACTGGAGGCGCATCCACGTAGAGCTGTAGCGCCCGCTGGATGCTGGTATGCTCCTGGATGGACTCCCAGATGCTTGGGAAACCCGCATCATCTGGTATGGGTGGCGTGCCGCCCTCGGTCTGTGGAGCGTTGTCGCGCCCCTGCCTCACAGGACAGGACCCACGGGAGGCCGAGGTCATCGATCTGCCACGATGGTGGGGATGACGCCCAGCGCCACCCACACGTCCTTGCCACTGTTCCTGACACCAGTCCTGTTCGTTGGCATTGAGGCCGCGACCGACCCCGCACTCCCACGCACGAACCATGTTCCTTCCTCCTCCACGCCCACGCAAGCCACCTCTTCATGGTTGGTAGGGTACACTTGAAGGCGGCGTGGGTGCCAGTGACGGTGCGCGTCCTCAACACGCGTAGACACCATGGGGCGAGAAGGCGTACCGCAGACAAAAACATGTTGCAGTTCTAAGCGAGCCAATTCGATTAGGGATTGATCCTCCGAAGGGGGGTCCGCCACTGCATCGGCGTCGCTGTTAGGGCGTTCCCCCGATTGGAGGGAATAAGCATCAGAAAGAGGCACCGGTCCATCATCTCGAGAGCCATCTTCAGCCTGGGAGAATGAGCTGTCTCGGCCTCTGCCGCCTGCAGTTCCAGCGCCTTCCTCGTCGTCCTCCATGCCGCGTTCACTGCTTGGTGGACGCTGAAACACTAACTCCTGGCTGGGCACCTACGGGAGCTAGCGTGTCCACGGAAGCAGTGGCCCTTGATCCCTGACCCCGGGGAGAGGGACACTCCCAGGAGACGGCTTGAGCCAAAGGGCTTGAGCAAAACTTGAGCCATGGGTTGAGCCAAAGGCTACGGAAATAAAACAAAGACACACACTTCCCTCTCCTAGTCCTGCCCCCACCTTCCATCCTCATGCCCCTGCACCTCATCTTGCTCGTCTCCCTTCGCCTCCTCCTACATCGGCCCAATGAGAGGTTCTGGAATGTCATGATGGCGCTCGCCGCGCAGAAGGCGGCGGAAGTAAAACGGGGGCGGCGGAGGCTGGTGGAAGTAAAGTTGCGCCTGCGGCGCACCCATGCCCCCGTAGAAGCCTAGCAAGTTAATCTTCGTGCGTGGGCCAGACGGGATCCCGCCATGCTTCGCCCCTTCTAGTATCAGAAGTTTAATTCAGCCACGTCGGGATCCGACCCAATAAAACTATTGTCATCACCGGATCCTGGGCGTTCAAATATCCCCACGTAAATCCCACCAACTAACAATTTGGTAGACCAACATCCCAGGCCGTTGCAGGACTCCTGCTGGGGCCATCTTGAGGCAATCGTCTGGTCGCCCAGGAGCCCTAGTCAGGACTTCTGGAAGCCATGTTGGGCCGTCGTGAGATCACCTTGACATGGCATGCAAGTCGCAGAGCCGTCTTGTCGACTTGCGAAAGGAGCTGGGCGCATGTTGGCAAGGTCGTCAGGTCATTTGAGAGCACGCCCAGTCATGTTTGAATCACGCGATCGTCGCTGGGTCACTTTGAAGTCGCCGTCGGCGTGCCTAGTTCCATCATCTGGCTATCGGGCCATTTCGCTATCGCACACTGCTCATCAGCTGGGTCACCCCATAGCCAACCTGAGACTATCAAAAGGCCGTATCGGGATCAGATCGGGCCTCGGGCTCAGCTCAGCGTCGCCTGGAAAGGAGAAAGGGCGAGGGAGGAGAAATGAGGAGAGAGAAGAAGAGAGGAGAACATTGCGCGCTCTTGCGAATACTTCCCATAAGACGTGCCAAAGAAACTTGTATTGGAGCCAAGTATTAATGTCCCCTCTCCTCCTCCTCAGGTTCCTCCGTCTCTTCATCCTCATTGTACGGGGATGGGGGAAATCAGCGAACGACGGGAAGGGGCAGCGGAGATAGGGGGGAAGGACAGGAGAACAACCATTCCGACTGGAGAGGCGTGAATGATGAGCAAAAGGGCGGAACGTCAGACTCAACGCAGCGGGCAGAAGCAGACGAAATAGCTATGGAGAATGCCTACAACGCGCATCTCCACTTATCATCACATGAATCACACAAGCGGCGAATCTAGAAATTGCCAGTGGAGCAAGCTAATTTTATCTGAAGCAATGGAACACTTCCAAGTGATCGACGCGACAGCCACAGGATGTCGTAAGCGGAGCGCCTCTTCTCCAGCCGCCCTAGTCACATAATGCATGTGGCTCCCTGGGCACGCTCCTTCTCCAATAGTGCTACGGTTGATGGTACTGCTCGCTACGACTGTGCTTTGCCTCATCTTTCTCCCCCTCCTCTTCTGCCTACGCCTCCTCCTTTGTCTACGCCTTCTCCCCCTCTCCTCCGCCTCCTCATCCTCATCCTCGTCATCGTCCTCCTCCTCCTCCTCGTCGTCGTCATCGTCGTCATCGTCATCGTCATCGGCATCGGCATCGGCAGCATCATGATCATCATCATCATCATCAGCAGCAGCATCGGCATCATCATCCTCATCATCATAACCATCATCAGCATCGTAATCATAAGCAGAATCAGCATCATCATCAGGTTTTCTTCTTCTTCATCATCAGCAGGATCATCCGCCCCCTCCTCCTACTACTCATCCTCATCATTAGCATCACCATCAGCAGCAGCAGCATCAGCATCATCATCATCGTCAGCATCAGCATCATCGTCGTCGTCATGATCATCATTATCACCATCATCATCATCAGCATCATCATCATCATGCTCATCATCATCATCATCATCATCATCATCATCATCATCATCATCATCATCATCATCATCATCATCATCATCATCATCATCATCGTCATCATCAGCATCATCATCCTCATCATCATCATCATCAGCAGCAGCAGCAGCATGAGCATCATCATCGTCATCATCATCAGCAGCAGCATCATCATCACCTGCATCCTCTTCCTCCTCCGCCCTCCTCCTCCTCCTCCCCCACCTCCATTTCCCCCTCGTCGCATCCTCCCCCTGGTCGTCCTCCTCTGCATCCTCATGCCCATGCTCCTGCTACCCCTCCTCCTCTTCTCCTCCTCCTAAGCCCTCGCACTGCCCCTCCCTCTCCCCCTTTCCGCGGCCATAGCTCACTTCGGAACCGGGTTCGTCTTGTAGCCGCCCTGGCCGTAGGCCTCAGACGGCAAGCAGGCGGCGGGGAGCGGAGAGGCGGAAGGGCGGGAGGGCGAGGAGCAGCGCGCGAGGAGACCGAGGGGAGAAGCGGGGGCAGACTTGCATTGGACCCCTCAGCCTCCCTCTCCTCAGGGGGGTCGCAGGGTTGGGGGGGGGCACAGTGGCCTGGAAGCGGCGATGCATCGCCGACAGATGGGCGACAGGCTTCAACACACTCCTGCAAGGTTGGGAAGCACTGAGAGATACCACTTCCAAAAAAGTGCGGATTTCTGAAGCTTGCATTGCATTGTATCCTAACTCGTGTAACTCGTGTACTGCTTGCACACTGCGCGGGTGAAAGATCAAAGAAAAACTAGTTGGACACCATCCAAGCGCGGTGACTACGAAAAGTCGATCGCATAAGGAACGCATGCGTTAGCCACCTCAACAGCGAAGCCGTGCTTGACACGTGCGGCTGCACAAAAATGGACTCTCTGTTAGCATACGGACAATTGGCGCTAATGGTAAGCGTCACCCAGCAACCAAGTGGTAGCGCATTGAGGGGCTGCGTTTCCAGTTTTCACACAGGGGAGCTTTGCCTTAGCCCGCTCACGTGGGCCCCCGCAAGCGCGGCCGTCCTAGAAACACGTTAAACCTTGGCATCTACGGCTTAGCATGCTGGGTATCAGGTGGACCAGCACCTCAGCAAGACTTGCGGCAAAGACCCACGCACGCACGGAGCTCAGCTACTGTGAAGAGCCAGCATGAGCCCGAGTGTCTCGTTTTTCCTAGCCAGTGCCAACGCACCTTGAAAGTGCACGGCTCGCTCTCTCTCTCTCTCTCTCTCTCGCTATCTCTCTCTCTCTCTCTCTCTCTCTCTCTCTCTCTATATATAAATATATATATAGAGAGAGATAGATCGCTCTCTCTCTCTCTCTCCTTTTTGGGGGGTCCTGCTGGGGCCCGCTTGTGGCCATCTACTGGAGCACCCTTGGGCCCATCTAGGGGGGGCCTCTGTCACCGTCTGGGGGGTCACTCGGGCCATCTTGGACGCCTGTTTCGGCCATCCAGGAGCTTCGAGAGGCGCTCTGGGGCCCGAAAGGCTGCCAACGTGGCCGCCCAGGGACGCGTCAAACTGGAATCCCACCGCCTCCCCCCTCCCGGGCCACCCCACCCAATTGGGGCGGTTCGCCAAACCAAAACGGCACCAGGCCCCCAGAAGCCCAGCAGAGGCCCCCAGGATGCCCCCAGAAGTTTCCCAGAGACCCCCAACAGTCCCCCAGGATGCTCCGACAGCCCACGACGGGTTTTTGATTGCATTTTCGTGTGTTCGGGCTTCTCCCCCACGCGAGCATCACACGACAGCTTAGAAAAACTACGACCACGCAACAACTTCCCCATGCCTGCGAGCACACAGGTAAACAGGAGAGTACAAAATGGGCCAGCGGAATGCGCCAAGCGGTTGAATTCGGGGGGCCCCCTGCGGGCCCTCGCCGTGTCAGGGCTCGAGGATAGACGAGATGGGGGATGCGATGGAGGAGGCATGCGATAGAGGATGCGATGGAGGAGGGGGAGAAGCATGCACAAGAGGCATGCTGACGGCGGCCTCGCGCACTCCGCCGGCCCGAAGAAACGCCAAGAGAAGACCTGAAGAGGACCCGCAGAGGGCAGCCGCCCCTTGCTTCTCCGTCCGGCACGTGAATCGGCGGTGGACAAAGGACCGAAACCGACGGACCCGGACCCGCAAAAATGACGGCCGGGACGCCCTCTCGCGAACCGAAAACGGCCGATTCGCGAATCGACGTGTCAGGGTAGGAGGTCCATCAACCTCCGAGTGAACATAAGTGTGATCTGCGCTCTCAGGCCCCTGGTGCACGCACAGACGCGAGTGAGGCGTGCTCAGATGGCCTCAAAGGACCGTCTCGCTCGGGACGTCCTCGACACATCGGCTTCGGAGGGGGCTCGGGATCTCAAAGACTGCCGTTTCGCTCGGGACATCCTCGGGAGAGGACTCTGAAATTGAAAAATGGCAGTTTCGCTGAGGTAATCTTCGGCAAATAAGCCTCGGGACTTCGAGTCTCAGCAATGACAAACTCGCTCGAGACATCCTGGACAATCTGCCTCGGAGGGCGCTTTGAACACTGACTCCCCACGGGACGCCAACATGGCCCCAACGGTCGGTACCGACCCTTGTCGAGGCAGTATCCCTTAACACCAAGTGGGCGTTTTTTTATTCGGCGGGGGGGGAGGGGAGGGGTCTGGCTCCGGACCTCTGCCTAATGCGACTGTTTGCAACAGGACGTTTTCCCGTCGCGGGAGCCCTCCCCCTAGGGGTAAGGTTGCGCCGCCCGCGCCTAGTGGCGGCGCCTCCGCTTCCTCGGGCCCCCGCCCGCGAGAGGGGTGCGAGGGCCCGCGCCGATCGGCAAAACATGAATGAATGAATGAATGAAGCCGAGTGTCCGCAGGCACATGAGCAATGGCACGAGCGCGCGCTAGACTGTAAACTTGCGCACTGCTGCGTTCCAGGCTTCCGCAGGAAAGTGCCCAAATTGCATACACATTGCAACCAACATCGTGACAAACTCGCTGCTCGGGTCGGGCGAAAGGGGGGGATAGCAAAGGGGGGGGTTGAGAATCAGCTCCCGGAGCTGATTTTCCCGGCGCCTCCCGGCGCCGGGAGGCGCCCATGCATCGAGGAATGGGCCCCTCGGTGGGGCCGAAACCAGCTGCATGCAGCAAATTTCGTACCCCCCCCTTTCCCAATCCCCCCCCTTTCGTCCGGCCCGAGCTGCGCGTGCTCACACGACTCTGACGCCCACTCTGACCGGCAAAACGGGGAGCCAGACAACGACCAGCAGCTAGTTGCAAAGTCCGCGCGCCAGCGTGCCCCCCCGGGGGGGCCCGCCGCGTCTCCCGCCCTCCCGGGCTCCGCCCGGCGAGCCCCCCTGCGGGGCCCCGGCCGCGTTGAGCTTCGGGAGAAGGATTGCAAAAAAAAAAAAAATGCAAAAAAACGAAGGATTTCAAAAAAAACAAAAAAAACGAAGGATTGTAAAAAAAAGATTGCAAAAAATGAGAGGAGGGCGAAGCGGAGGATGCCGCGAAACATGCTCTGGGCCTCCTGAGAAGCGTAGGGGGGGTACCCCTCCGACGCGGGCCAACCTTGCCTCGTCGTCGCACCGCGGCGGGGGTCGGGGCGCCTTCGGCGCGCGGTGGCTGCCCGCGACGGGGGTCGATGTGAGTTGTCGGCGGGGGTGACGCGCCACCCCCCCCCCGACGCTTATTCAGAAACTCGGAGTACATAAAGGCATGCTAAGAGCGGCCTCGCGCATTCCGCCGGCCTCAGGATGGCTGATGCTATCAAGGGGACACGCAAGAAACAGATGGGTTTCACGTGCTCCCAGCGCTCGGCCCACGCTCGTGACAACTCCTGGGACACGTGAAAACACGAGTGAGACGCGCCCTCAGGGCTTTCGGCGCACCCCTCACGCATTTCCTCTATTCGTGGGACGCGTACAAATACGAGTGAACATGTGTTGATGGCTTCGACACTGCCATTTCGCTACACCCCTAACGCACGTCCTGCTCCACACTCAACTGGGGCATGTGAAAATATCTTTCAGGCTCCTGAGACACGTGAGAAGAAAAGTACGTTGGGCCTCGAGGCTCCTGGGAGACTTACAAATGCGAGTGAATCGCCGTCATTTTGATGGGAACCTCAATTCGGCACACTGCTCACGCACTTCGTGAATGTTGGGCGCTCAGCTGGCCCCCGAGACGGCTCCTTGGAGCCTCACTCCGGCACACCCCACACGCACGTCTTGCCCCATGGACCCAAAAGGCAATTAGCTGGCCTTCAAGACCACATACTCCCCAAAAGGGCGCAAATACGACCTCGGTACCGACCCTCGTCAAGGCAGTAACCCGAACACCCACTGACGAATAAAATCTGCGTGCAGGCTGTTTCCCGCTGGGGGCCCGCCGTGACTCCTGCCCTAAGGGCTCAAAAAAGTGTCGCCCAGGCCATTTTATGTGTGATGGCATTGGTGACATGAAGAAGTTCGAATACACTACCGTCATGGCCATTGTACCATGCATGACAACTTGCATTGCTGCAACACCGCATCCTGATAGCGAGAAAAGGCACTGACAATTGTGCAGATCACGGCTCTCACCAGGCCATGGTACACATGGCAGGTGGGCAGTCCAGGCCTTGGCTAACCTCCTCCTTCACATCCTGCTTAGCCCCCTCCCCCTTCACTGCGATCCCTACCAAACCAGAGACCGGTTCCTTCATCTCACTTGACGGTTCCCAACCATCCTCGGAAGACCTCCCTTTCCGGGCTGCACGAGAACTGTGTGTGCCGAATCGGTGGGAGACGGAGGCGGATGGGCAAAAGACGGTCGTAAAGTGCTCTCGTCGTTTGCTCTCACGCACCAGTATTGGTCTGATCCCCAATGGTGTGGTCAGGCGTGGTCAGGCCTCCTCCCCCATCTGCCCTCCTCCCTGGCGGCGCGCAGAGGGGGGCAGGGGGAACGGGGAGGGCTCCGGCTGCTTCTTAGAACGCGCGGGCCTTGTCTACAGATGTAGAGCCGGCGCCTCCTGAGAAGCAGCCTCCTTGTAAGAAGCCCTCCCCCTCCCCCTAATTACCCCCCTCCGCGCGCGGCCGACCTCCTCTGCCACGCAGATGCCCGGCAGCCAAGACCGCGCGCCTCCGCGGCGAGAGTGGCTGCCTTCACATCGCGCTGGGTTCCATAATACCTGCGGCAGGACGCTATCCGAGGCACGAAGAGAGAGACAGGGAACGCGCTCGAGAACGCGCCGCTGAGCAGTGGATAAGAGGAAGCCGGGACGAGGAGAACATCGGGCGAGGACAAATCGAGAAACGCTGAGATCCGGCGGCTCTGGAGGACGTCTCGGGCGCCGCGGCCTTCTCAGAGCGTTCCGGAACGCTCTGAGAGCGCTCCCCAACGCGCTGGAACGGATTTATCCTCGTCCTAGCCCCACCCGAATGGAGCGATCGGAAGGGGAAGAAAGAAGAGAACAGTGGAGGGCATTATCCACCCAAGTTCGCGCCTGGCGCTACGCGACTACATCCACGCCCTCGCGCCACCCACTTGGTGAGGGTGAAGATTCCAGTCCTGACCGCGAGCCGCGAAAAGCTGGCAAGTTCGCACCCCGTCTATCGACCCGGGAAAGAGAATGGAGGGCACGGGGTTTACCAGGCGAGGGCTGGTCACGGTGGACACGGGGTAGGGAAGGCAGCTTGCGACTGTGGCAGTACCAACAAACTTGTGGCTTCTGTGAAGGGTGGCATGAAGAGCTTGTCGCAGCAAGCAGCAGATGCAGATGCTCATGGCGACTCACCGTGAAGACGGACAGGTGCTGAGCACCAGGAGGCGGTGCAGAATGATGAGCGATAACTGACGATTAGTGTGAAGGTTCCTCCTCATCATCGCCACTCTTCCTGGGGGAAGCGCACATCGTTGCGATCTTGAAGCCCACCATGAAGGTTACCAGTGGAGCGAACGCCCCCATGGCCCCGCAGCGGTGGGCGTAGAAGTACCTGGCAGATTGGCTGCGCGGGGCAGGGGGGAATCAGCGGCAGAGGAAGTGGAGGTCACGACAAAAAGGAGGATGGCAAGCATCCTGGAGAAGTCGCTCGTCGGGTCCCACTGGGCCCATCACCAGCGCCTTCGTCCGTTGGAGGGGAAGGGGCCAAGGGAGGGGGGCGTAGACTCGCTGGGAATCGCCGCTCGGGACCCAAGGCAATCTGCCCGCTCGCCTCACTCGGCTGCGGGGCATCCCCGGTAGCAGCTCCCCCCTGCCGACGCGTCGCACGCATCTTTGCGATGATCGCCAATCGGGACAACATCGACTGGCTGCCTGATTGCCTCCTCTTCTGTCCTCCTCAACATGTTGTTCCTCCCACCCTGTTCGTCATCTTCGGGCATGCCTCTCCTCCTCCTCCTCCTCCTCCTCCTCCTCCTCCTCCTCCTCCTGCTCCTCCTCCTTGTTCGTTAGACTAACATAGGTGTGATGCCTGTTGCAACCTCCTCCTCCTCCTCCTCCTCCTCCTCCTCCTCCTCTCCTCTCCTGCTCCTCCTCCTCCTCCTCCTCCTCCTCCTCCTCCGAACTCCTCCTCCGAACTCCTCCTCCTCCTCCTTTACGTTAGATTAACATTATGTGTGATGCCTGCTGCAACCTCCTCCTCCTCCTCCTCCTCCTCCTCCTCCTCCTCCTCTCCTCCTCATCCTCCTCCTCCTCATCATCCTCCTCCTGCTGATTCCTCATCCTCCCGATTCCTCCTCCTGTTCCTCCTCCTCCTCCTCTCCTCCTCCTCATCCCCTTGCTCCTCCTCCTCTTACTCCGGACTCCTCCTCCTCCTCCTCCTCCTCCTCCTCCTCCTCCTGACTCCTCCTCGTCAACCTCCTCCTCGTCCTCATCATCATCCTTGGACATCAGACTAACATTTAGTGTGATGCCTGTTCCAACATCCTCATCCTCTTCTCCTCCCCCTCCTCCTCCTCGTCCTCCTCCTCCTCGTCCTTCTCCTCCTCATCCTCCTGATTCATCCTCATCATCCTGATTCCGCCTCCTCCTCCTCTTCCTCCTGATTACTCGTCCTCCTGATTCCTCATCAGCATCACCAGACTCCTCCTCCAACTCCTCCTTCTCCTCCTCCTCCACCTCCTCCTCCTCCTCCGAATCCGCATCATCCTTTTACGTTAGACTAACATTAGGTGTTATGCCTGCTGCAACCTCTTCCTCCTCCTCCTCCCCTCCTCATTTCCTCCTCCTCCTTCTCCTCCTCCTCCTCCTCCTCCTCCTCCTCCTCCTCCTCCTCCTCATCTCATCCTCCTCATCTCATCATCATCATCATCATCATCATCATCATCATCATCATCATCATCATCATCATCATCATCATCATCATCATCATCATCATCATCATCAGCATCATCATCATCATCATCATCATCATCATCATCATCATCATCATCATCATCATCATCATCATC